ATGTCCGCTAAATGAATTTATGACCATAGTAGAATTATACTAATAGAGCATAGTTGGTTTACTCTAAAACTAATACATTTAGGAAACCATGCTCGTAAATGGTAATTACGAATTAATTAATCCTCTTAGAGAATTAGATAGTCATGATGACTTGTTAGAGATCAATCTTAATTTATGTATCAAGAGATAAAAAAGATATTTTATTTTTTATTTTTGATACATTGTCAATATATTTAGAAGCCTATTGAGTCACACGTATAAGTTTAAACATTCACACAATAAAAGACAAAAAAAGATTTTAGAAAAAAATTCCTATTTTAGAAAAAGTTTTCTTAAATGGAAAGTTTTATATTTTGAAAAAAAGTTTTCTATTTTGGAAAGTTTCTTGTTTTGGAAAAATTTTTCTAAAAAGAAAATTTTCTATTTTAGAAATTAGTTTCCTAATTTAAGGTTTAAAGGTGATTTAGGAAATTGTTTCCTAATGTGGGCCTCCTAAAATATATGACTCAATTTATTTATATGATCCAAATTAATTAGTAATTAATTAAACTAAAAGAATTTGGGTCGTTAGGCTTAATTTAAAAATCCGTAAGATATTTTGATGGAAGGATAAACTTGAACCCTATTGGATAAAGCTCGGGATTTACAAAGATAAGGTTAGACAAAACCCACATAGGTGATTAAAAAAGGTTCTCCTTGTAGGTCAAGGAGATATTGCCGCCCCATAAATAAATAAAGAAGAGAGAGGCGACGTTAAGGGTAACCAATAGAAAACACATGGCAAAATAAGAAGAAAAAAGAAAAAAGAGTTTTCTCTCCCTTAAACCTTCCACCTCTTTCCTTCTCTCTAGGGTTGCAGTATAAAAAATCCTAAATTAATTTCTAAAGAAAAATAAACATATCAAAAAAAAAAAAAAAGGTGGAGCTAGCCTAGAGCTCAACAGCTTTTGATTGCTTCTTGTGTGGGGTTTGAGCTGCATGGATAATCAATAGAGGTTGGACAACATCTTTTCGCATAGATAGTTTCTACAACATAGAAGATAAACACTTGCTTTAATTATTTATTCATGTATGTATGATCAATTGATTCAATAGTATGATTTTGAAAGCATTAGATAGAGAAATGTTTTTTACTTTATTCCACAACTCCATAGGATGTATAATCCTTCATCTGTCCCATTCTACCCTATATCATTTTGTACCAAATTTCAAACTATAGCAAAAAGATAATAGTCCATATAAAAACTATAATTAAAAAAATAATCATTTAGCATCATATTCAACTACAAGTTTACAACACAACTCATAATTTATAAAATTATTTTTAACTCGAATAAATAACATATTAATTAAGTTGATGAAATATCACTACTCGAAAATATCACAAGTGCAATTAAAAAAGATAAATTCTTGCATGTCTTTACTTGTTTAGAGATCATCAAAGCTCACTCATTATATTAAACTTTGACGTAATCATTGATTAATGTAGATCCTACATTCATTAAAATTAAAAGTGAATTAGTCATCACAAAAAGTTTTATGGCTATCATTTAAACTTTGATATATTATTTTATATCTTTATCTTCTTCTAGATACTCCTCATATATAGTACAATAACCATATGAAATAAATAGAGTTCCACCTAGAAAAAAATATAATAAACATAAATAAGATATGTAAAATTTTTAAGAAATTAATAAAAAAATCAAATTCATATGTAGAGTTTTAGTATATTACCTTTATTTTCAGCAACTCACAACCAATTTTGAGCACACATTAATGCTTCAATCGTCTTTAGATGAAGTCTACTTTGATGTGGACTTACTAGCCTACCACTAACGAGTAAAAGTTGATTTTGAAGCAATGGTTGACACGGGGATTGCCAACACATCCTCGGCAATTGCCATCAAAGTGGAGTACTTCACCCCATTTACTTTTCACCATACTAGAATAACAAAATTCTTGGTTATTCGAATAACACCTTCATCTAAGCGAGTGGTCTAGGTCTATCTTGACAAAGGTAGCCTTGGCCTTCTTCCTTAAAACATATAAGTCAAACTTAGATTCCATATCCTCAACAAACATTGAAGGATTAATCATAACGAGCTACCACATCCTCCATCCACATTTATATTTTTTTGGTACTTAGTCGATAAATCATAAAAAAAATTTATGTATATTCTCAACTTGAACCTTAGCCTCACTCTCATAAACTTTCTTAAAATAGAACTCAAATGAATCCATTTTGTACCTAAGATCGAAAACTACAAATTGCTCTTATTATTTCATAAATCACACTCTAATACTTATTGAACTTGTCTAACATACTTTCTACCATTTTACTAACCATTTGATTAGGACAAGTGAGCCATCGAGTCAATTTAACCATAATTTAACATATTTTAATGCAAAATAAATTAGTCGTGGGGTTTCAAGTTCTTGAAAACAATTCAGTAATAATGTAAAAAATCTTCAATCTTCCACACATTTCCTTTACACATTCCTAATCACTATCGGTAGACACAACTTTATAATGAGGTTCATGACGCTTTAACCTAGAAAAACAATTCTTATATAAAAAGCAATTCCTAGTATCAAATAGGTAAAATTCCATCTAGTTGGATAATTTAAAGCCAATTTCTTTGTGATAGGAATGAGAAAGAAGTTAGCAGCATCCTCAAACTTTTTAACTCTTTTAGGAGTTTTTGTCCAAAATGCTACACTATCTCTAATTCGCTCAATCCTTTCCTTAATGACATCCAACCCATCTTTTAATATTAAGTTGATGATATTCGCACAACACCACATATGCAATAAAGAATCATAATTCAATAACTCCATCAATTTTAACTTATCCCTCACATACTCAATCATAGAATCATTAATGAAACAATTATCCAATGGAATAATGGATAATTTTCCTTTAACATTCCAATCCATCAAATAATCGGCTAAAGCGATTGCAAGGACAATGATTATATGTGGATAAGGAATATACATAAACCTAAAGCAAGATATAAATTACTTATAAACTAAATACATTGAACTAAAGCAATTAAACAAGTATCATTACGGCGATAAGAAATTAAGAGTACCTCGATAGGCGACTTCGTAATATCCAAGAGCTATCAATGTAGTGAGCTATAATAGCATAGAATCCTTTTTCTTTTTTGTTGCGCATTGTCCACAAATCAATAATAAATTAATGATGGCAATTCTACTTCCAAATTTTCCTAAAACTCTTATCATTTTTGCTCTCTTATTGTCATATCTTGAAGGCATTACTTTTGACTATATTTCTAGTAGGACGAGTTGAACAATGGTTGAAGAGTAGTTGTAAACTTTCCGAAGCCGATATGGTCAACCATAGAGAGCGGGTATTGATGCGTTATGATCATAGAAACAAGCTCCTTTCTTTTTGTCTTTTGATCAAAAGTATGTGCCATTACATCACTCATTAAGTTAAAAGTCAAAACATTTTGTTTTATACCAAGTAATTTTCCTCTTTGGACATCTCTTGAAGTGATTATGCAAATGTTTAGTACCATCTATTGCCTCTTCCACGGACATCTAAATTTCTTTTACAAACTTCCCCGTCCTTCTTAGAATTAATGAATTCTTTCATATAAAAGATTTTTCATACCGTGCACAAGGACATTCGCCCATAAAGAGCTCGACTCTAAAGAAGCGAAACTCAAACGGATAGAGCACATGATCCAACTACATAACTTTTTCTTTTTCATTACTTCCATGGTCGTGCCTCGTCTTTGACTTGCCTCCATGTTGTCTCTCATAATAAATGCATTCACGCCTTTTCTTCACCATTCATAATTTTTCTTGTGAAATGGTTCCACACAATACTAAATTGCTTTTTAGGAGGAAGATCGGAATCACTTTAAAGTTCGCCCATAATAGGTTGTGGAGATAAAGGTGATTCGATAACTAGAGTAGATGGAGTAGAATTCAAAGGTATTAGTGTAGACTAATGGGAGCTACCTCCATCTCTATGGCTTGTCATTTTCCGAAAATATACAATAGAAATCAATAAAAACAAAGTTAGATATAGAGGATAGAACTAGAAATAATTTGTTTCATGATTTCTATTTGGATAAAGGAAATTGCATACACAAATAAAAATGACATTATTTGAATTTGACAATGGAAAAAGTAGAAAAATCAATTGATCGTAGTGTAGTTGTCCACTCGTATTAATCCAAAAAATAGTTCAATACCTTCCCACTCAAAGCGAAATCTCACACTTCCATCCTAAATCCATAAAGGCACCAAGAAAAAAAAAAATAGAGCATAATTCAAATGCCTAATTTATAAGGAATGGACCCTAAATGAAAACACATACATACTAAGCAAGTCTCTGTTTTCATTTACGCCGTTGCTCGGGAATGTTTACCTTATTATTCAAATTTAGCTTTAACTTTATTTTCTTTTGCGATATGCTTTCTCTATATAAATAGTGACTCAATTTATATGGTTAATTTTGCTAAACCAACTATTTTGAAATGTCTACGAGCAAACACCAATTATATTATAATAGCTTCTTATTAGTTGTTGGTTAGAAACTACATACTAAATAAGATAAAAAAAGAAGAAGAAGAAAAAAGATGCCTTAACAATCGATTAAATATAAAAATTCAAACCGGTCGCATTAGAATTTTCAACACAACCAACCAACCATTCACACTTAATTAACAAAAGGCATATATATATAAAGTGTGAACTAAATTAAAAGAGGCACATAAGAAACACAAAGCAAATGGCGAATTATAATAAAAGAAAGCTTCCCCATCAAAAAAGAAAGGAAAAAAAAAAAAAACCTCTCCAACCCAAAAAGAATCATCTAATTCCAACCTCTTAATTCAATAGACAACAAAATCTTTTTAATTCAACGAATTAACTCTCTTGCAAATCTAAAAGCATATCGATTTGTGTTAGATTTGCGAGAGAGTTAATTCAAAAACTAATCGCCCGTATATCAATGGTGGATGGTGGGTGGTGAAGGGCGAAGGTGGTTAGCATTGCAAAAAGATGTGGTGGTTGTTGTCACGGTGGGCGTCATGGTGGGCTATGGTAGAGGGTGGATCCGATGGTCTGTGGTGGTGAGTGGTGGTAGGCCAAATGAGAGATACGTAAAGAAAAGGTGAAGTGTAAATTGTATTCATGTGTAAAACTAAAACCCTAGTTTGTAGTCTCAGTATATATATATATGTAGGTTATGTATAATTATAATTTCTAAATGAAAAGATGGGATAGGACGACACAGGACGGGATGGATAAATACCATTCTTGTCTCATTGCCGTTTAAAGTCAATGCAAGATGAGGCGTTTCGTTTTATTTTCTAATCAACTTAGAGAATTCCTGTATTGATGGAAGTGGGGTGAGGCGAGCCCTGCCGGAGAGGGCGAATTGCCATCCTTAGTTGAAGTATGCATGACAAAGGCTGAGCTCCATTCTATTTATGGGGTATTCTGCGGCTCTTAAATATTTTTTTTTATTAACTTTTTGGTCGAAGTTTGTTTGTTTGTATTAAAAATGAAAAAGGTGCGAGAGAATGTTTGGTTGAACAGAAAATGGGCAAAGACAGCAGTTCTAGAATGAATCCACCGATGGGCCTCAATATTAAACCCAACAGTTAACTAGTAAAATTAAAAGACCCAAAATCCCAAAAATATATTGGGAACCAGCAAGATGACCCCTTACCTGCCCTAGCAAGGCTGCAAGAATCATAAAATAAGAAACTTCACCTGCCCAAGAATCCACCCAAGAAAGAAGAAAACCCTCTCTGCTTCTCTGCTTGACAAACCCGAGGAAGCATGGAGATCAGTGGGGGACGTTAATGTGGTTTTGGGGTTTTCTTTCTCTAGATATTGAAAGCCAAGATGGTGAGAACTTGAAGAGAAAAGAAGGGGTTTTGGTCTGTAGAAAAGTTGCAATCTTCTACAGTTTTTTCAGAATACAAGCCTAAAGAGGTAAACTTTCTTACGAAAGTTTGTCGATTTTGTGTTGGTTTGAATTTGATTTTCCAGTCAAGACAAAGAAAAGTGATCGTAAAGTAGTGGAAGAGGTGAAAGTTTAGTATTAATCTTGTGTTCAGAAGTGAATGTAGATAGTGATAATCTTGGAACCATTTAGATATGAGCAACAAGGAAGTGAAATCAAATCTTTCTTCAGCTGCTATCATTGGTGGTAACCAAGATATTCTTACGGAAATACTTCTCCGAATACCTGCAAAGTCACTGTTCAAGTTCAAGTGTGTGTCAAAACAATGGCTTTCTGTGATTTCTGACCCTAAATTCTGCCTCTCTCATACTCGCCACAAACTTAGCCGTTACCCCACACCGAATGCTCTCTTGCTCAAGAACCAGTACTCTTCTTCTCCTGAATTCCAGGTTGTCCCACTCAAGGATGCTACAAAAGTTCCGTTCTTGGATTATCTCAATGTACCAAGAATCAAGATAGAGCGTTCTTGCAATGGCTTGCTGCTTTGCTCTTCCGCTTCCTTCCTCAAAACCGGTGAGCGACTAAAGAATGAGTTAGGTGTTGAGGGCGTCCCCGTTCCTCCTGCAAATCTGGTAGACCATTCTAGCTATGTGATCAATGGTGACGATCTTGGGCGTCGGTATTTTATTTGCAATCCAACTACGAGGGAATTCAAGAGACTTCCTTTCCCTAGTTATATACTAATACCTGAACTTCTGTTACCTCATTATCCATGGCTTTTTTATCCATGGATTTTTTTGGCCTTTGATCCCATGAAGTCACCTTACTACAAGATAATTCTCTTGCGCATGATGTCGAAGACAGAAATTGGAATTGATGTATATTCATCAAAGACAGAATCATGGACTCGGGCACCAACCCTTTTTGAAAGGCCACTCAGAATGTTCAGCTATGATGGGATTTTTTGTAATGGTGCCATTTACTGGTACAGTAAGGCAGCCACTTCAGTTTATTTTGATGTTGACAGTGAGACTGTAAAGAAAATAGCAATGCCTCCTATGCTCAAGGATATGCCCCTGACACACATTTCGTACTTTGGGGAGTCTCGTGGTCATTTGAACTTGGTAGGTTTTAATAATTTCTCCAATTTGTCAGAATTGTATGTCTGGGAGATGCCACCTAATCACTGTGGCTGGCTTCTGAGATACCTTGTGGATCTTCATTCTATAAGAGAAAATCCTCGCGCGATTTCAGTGTTGAGTGTTATTCGCACTGAAAAGGAAGAAGAGTCGATGCTTGTTCTGCTTATGGATGGTGGTAGGGTTGTATCTTATAATACTTGTGATGGAACATCAAACAAGCTATGTGATTTGGAGCCAAGAACAGAAATTGAAAATAACAGTGGCAAATTGGATTATAATGGTCGCGATGTCTATCAATACTTTGAGACCCTCATTTCTTTTCCAGAATAGAACTTTTCTGGTAAGCCATTTTTCAACTTGCATAAATGTAATGTCTGCATAATTGACCAATTTTGTTTTTGTGCATAAAATGTCTGATTGAACATCCCTAGCCTTTTTTGATTGTTAGAGGAATGATTCCTTCATCTAAGAACAACTTTTCATGCATAAGTCTACACCATCAAAAGAAGTGACTGGCAGATTCAATGAGCTTTTCAGTTTCTTTGGTAATTAGTATGGAGTTCATCCTCACTGTTTCTTCCATCCAAAATTTCAATACTGTTATTCCAGAAAATATGCATATTGCACTCAAGTTATTTAATCGGAGGCGTTGTTGGTACTCATTATTCGTTGTTTTCTACTTTTATGCTTCGTTTTATGCTGATTTGATGTATTTCTCAAGCATGAATGCTGTCAATTGGTTTGATTGCAAACAGAGGAAGGAAAATTAGTATTAGTATCGATGCCCAGAAGCTAGAATTCACAATGGAACCTCATCACCTGAATATTTTGCGCTCGGATTGCATTGAACTTTTTATAGGGCAATCAGGTGGCAGATAGATATGAAACTAGAAAGATATTATGTGAGTGTCTGCAGAATTAGTTTATATTATAAGTCGCACTCCATGCCAACAACTTATTAGGCTTGTTTTCTGTATGAGACCATGAGTTTGGTTCACATGGATTCTACATGCAATAGAAACCTCTAGACTTAAGAGTTGGTGGCAAATATGAAATTACATTCTGCATCATTCTTTCTTAAAAGAGTTTTAACACAAGGTTACTTGATAAAAATGTAAGCTAAGGATCAGATAGTGCTTAAGAAACAAAAATGGGTTTGGAGGAACTGATGGAAGCCTTGACTTTGCTGTTCATTTAACTAGCTAAAGTGTGCCCTGTTACTTAGAATCCTCATTCTCTAAGAAGGCATTGCATGATTAGTTAATTAATTCGTACTTATTTCTCTTGGTTTCTGTTTCTTTTCACACACACATACATATGTTAGAGCTCTACCCTGTTTTAATGCAGAGAAGGATTATTTCCTTGCCTAAGATCCGTAGTTCATGCAGTAGGGCACACCAATAAAAGGGTTATTGGTAATCTCAATGATTCATTTCTTTTCTCATGATATGTAGCACATAAGCATTATGCATAGCTGTCCTTTGTTTCTACTTTCTAGTGGTTTTGTGAAGTATCGAGAGATTTTTTCTTTAGTTTTTGGCAAGATGTGGTTTTAACCATTCCTTTTTTGTCTTGCTGCTTGTGTTGCAGAAGAGAGCTGCTGGTAGAAATCTGGTTTTTGGGTTCATTGACCGTGACTTGATACATTTGTACAGCTGAATTTTGTTAAGGGTTCCAGCTTGGGCACTTGCTGCCTTTGATGATAAATTTTGTATTGCCAAAAAGATACTTTAATATCAGATTGTGAAGGGTCAGGGAGCACTAAATTTGGCTGATTTTTGTTGTTCTCCACAGTAGGCAAAAATACTCTACTGATTGTGATGTTGATATTTCCCATTTAGGAGTTGCGTTTTTTTGGAAGAACAATAATGAGAACTTCATTTTCCAATCGAGCCTTTTAATCTGATCCACCTCCATATCTCCCTGTCACCATGGCCTGCTATCTCCTTAAAAATAATGGCCCGAGCTACCTACCATTTAGCTTTAGCCCCCTCTCTGCCTAATTGCCTGCAAGTGCCTGTTCCATAGGCGTCCTTTTACCACCCTCGTCCTCTGCATGCAAAATGTTCTCATCTGCACTCGTATGCATGTATGTCAGCTTTGCCCAATCCTTTTCAGAACTTGAAGAAATCACTTCATTGTACCGGAGCAGAAGTAAAACTTGTTCATAAGCCTAAGAACATATTAAAGGTGTAAAAAGAGCAGGATTAGACTCTACCAATGGACCCCATATTGAAACTCACATTATCAGTCATAAATGATCAGTCAACAGACCATTGTGACCTGCAAGAAAGAGTCATCAGGCATCACTCACGTAACTCGAGAAAGAAGAAAACTCTCAGCTTCGCTGCCTGACAAACCGAAGGAGGCATAAATGTCTGTGTGAGTAGATTATCTACCCTTCTTATTTATATACAAGATTTTTGGTTTTGACTCATGAAACTTCCAATCTCTTGGACTTGGACGTTGCAGATGCTCTATATATTACAGATGATATTTCATCCAAGAAACAACAATTCTATCGTTTCCGAACAGAATAAAGTTTCATGCATATTCAGTACTGATAGCCTGATAGGAGCCAGGAAGGGAATCAAATTAGTGGCAGTTATTGACAATGCCTTCGTACAGAGCAGTTAAAGTTTAACAAGTACAACGCATAGTACAACAGAGAGAAGTCCAGCAAACTTCCAATTATTTATTCATACAAAAACTTAAGCCAATTCCAGAACAGATTCGCCTCTAGATTTATTCATTTCAAAGCTTGCTAGTGATATTGATGTTCCTGACTTTAGATGGCTTTGGATTGGTATCCTTTGGCACAACAATAGTTAGGACACCATTTTCCACTTGAGCTTTGATTTGATCCAGCTTCACATCTTCTGGTAGCTCGATTTCTCTAGAAAAACCCCTGTTCCCTGTCCCTCTCTCGGCTACATGCCAAACAGTGTCTTTCCCTTGGGCCTCCTCTTTGACACCTTCACCTTTTATGTGCAAAATATTCCCATCTCCCACTTGTACCTTTATGTCCTCTTTGTTAAATCCTACACAAAAACAAGAATTCATCACACGTCAAGAAAGAGAGAACTTAGAATTCAACTCGAGAAAACTCTTAGAGAAGTTGAAATGCAGGGGCAAAAAGATTCAATCTTTCAATACAATTACCCTCAAACTAAAACAACCCATCAAGTTTCACCTCTTAAAGATTCAAACTTCAAATACAAAAGACTAAAAACTCAATTAAATTTCAAGCATAAAGTTTTATTCTTGCCTAATTCCAGAAACTTCATTTACCAGGGACATTGACTTTAAAGATATGGGCAGTTGGGGATTCAAGCCAGTCCATGTGAGCAGCTGATCCAGACCACTCACGGTACACTGGAGGGCTCAAGAAGAAGCGCCTAAAAGGGTGCCCGAAGAAGTAGTCAGCCATTGTTAAAGACAAAGGAAAAAAGAAGTGGCTTGGTACTGGACTTTGTTTGATGTTTAGAACTTTTTCGTGTGTGACGCAGTGCAAAATAAATGAAGGGGTTTGGTTTGGCTTTATAGGTCAGTTTGTTGTGTAAGAAAGTCCAGAAGGTTCTGTGGGGTAGTTTTTGTATCTACAGGTAGAAGTCTAGGACTTTGGAGAAGATGAGGGGGATGAGATAAGGCATTTATTGCGTCACAAAATGTTACTCCATTAACTAAAAAAAGAAAAATATGTATGATCTAGAGATTGTGCTTGCCACTTTCTGGGTTGGGATTTTTAGAAATATGGCCGAAAGAAAATTTTTCATAAATAAACTTGTGTAAAAATGGATGGAGAGAGGGAAAAAAAAAAAGTCATCCAATTTGTTTCAAGGCAGAGAATTTGAGATTCAATAGCAAGCGACCTTGCTGTTTAAATATGATGGTCAGGGGTCAGTATGATGAAAAAGCATTCTAAGAAAATAAATTTTTGAGAAGATATTGAACATGTTAATTTCTTTTCTTTTTAGAAATATTTAGTTTCTTGTATGGGTTTCGTGAGCTATTGAATAAAGTTAAATTATTGGATTTTGGTTAGTGGACAATAATTCAGTCATAGGCGTATCATAGCGATCATTTGATGGTGAAAATTATACAGATCTATAATTTCTACAAGTATTTTCAATTAAAATCTTCTTTTTTTCTTTTTCTCTTCAATAATTTGGTGTGGATTATTTCAAACAGGTTTTCTATATCATCACGATTGGTACATTAAAAAAATGAATAAATTATAAATAAGTCGTTCTGTTTTTGAAAATTGAATCAATTAATTTCTTCTATTTAAAAAATCAATTTTATTAGTTAGTACTGAACATACTTAATTTAATATTATTTTTATTTAAAATCTGGTCATTTCTCATTAATTCTTATATATTTTTTCTTAAAACAAAAAATTAAAATAAATTGAAAATAATAAAAAAATAAATATGAAAGAATTAATTTTTTAATTCCTCGAAACTAAATGAACTAATTTATTATTTACTAAAAAAAATAGAGTTTTTTTCATCCTTTCTAAAGTTCAAACATAAATACTAATAGGAGAAACGTGTGCATTTTACCGAACCGAACTAAACTTTCAAAAAATAATTAGAAAAATCCTTAAAATACCATCCATGTTCGTCGAAGGTGTATGTTTACTTATGGATTAAATTTAATTACGTAATGTTTTTTCTTTAAAAAAAAAAAGAACAGAAAGAAAGAAAAGGAAGAAAGAAAAACAATCCTTAATCACTTGGAAAATGTGGTGTAAACCATTAAAAGCCCATGTCATAATCATTCAAAGTTGCTAGCTGGGCCTTCTTTTGAACATGAGCTACTGGCCTTAGGACAGCAATGTAAATCCACTTCATGCAGGTATTCAGCAAGCTCATAAGCAGTTGGGCTTGGAACTTAGGCTTTTGAAGCCTGCACCAATCCCTGGGCTTTCCTTCAAAAAGTTGTGGCTGTCCAATTTTGTTAATGGGCTTCAATCTGGGTGATTGTGGATCACCGTGTCCACGACCACAAGCATTAGGGTAGTGTTCAAATGCAGAGAATAATTCTGTTTTTCAAGAAAAATATCTCTGCGGAAAATAAAAAATGAGATTTTGTATTCAAATATGATCTTTTTCCATATACTTTTTTTTTCAATTCTCCAAATTATAACTAGTTTTAAAAAATATCTTTTTGATGTTTTTCAAGTTTTTCTCCAAAAAAGTTTTTTTTTTTTAATACATGTTTTGATATGCATTTTCAAAAGCATATACAAAAAGAGATGCAAGATGTCTATTTAAAGGTCTTAAAATTAATCTTGAAAAAGAGAGAGAGAAAGAGAATATAGGAATGAGAAGGATTCTTTTATTATGCAATTCAAAATATATTCGTCTTTATGGGGGGAAAAAAAACCTAACATATATAGATTTGGTTTAACAATTATGTATCAAATAGTTTTTTTTAACGAAATAAAATATTGTTTATCTATCCAACTTTCTTTCACTTCGCAAGAAAAAGTACCGTTACAATAATAATTTTCTTCCATGAGTTTAATTTGTCATGACTTTGATCACATTTAATTTATTTTTTGTCATTAAATTTTATAAATAAAAAATTGTACATGTTTACAATAATTTGAAGTCATTATAGCAATAAGTGGCTATTCATAATTTTTAGTACTATATTTCTTTGTTGTTCTTTTTAATTGTTGTATGATTCAATGAGTTGTTTGCTTAACTTGCTTTTTCATTTCTATTTGAAGGTCTTAAATCAATTTTGAGAGAGAGAGAGAGAGAATTTAGGATTGAGAAGGATGCTTTTACAATATAACTTAAGACGTATTTGGCTTTATGTTAAAAAAAAAAAAAAAATCTATGATTTAGCAATTGTATGTCAAATAGTTTTCTTTAATGAAATAAAATTTGAGTTTCAATAATTGCAATCTCTTTTTAATTATAATTTATGGTAGAGGTTTATCTTGGTGATACATGATAAAGTTTATTAATTCAATCCGTTGTAGTAATACAATCCGTTTTCCTGCCTTGCTAGTTATTATTATCATCTTTTTCTGTTTAGTTAATTATTAATTATTAACATCAATTTTTTAATGTTCAATAATTAATATAAACTGCAAAATTCTATCTATGATAAAAAGAAAAAAATGAAAAAAAAATCCAATAGACATGACATTTAATTACGAATCAAAGTGGGACATGTTGAGAGATTAACCGAGCTGGAAATGCTATAAAAACATCGAATGTAACTCTTTTTTTAGTATCTCTTTAACCAGGTGAACAATCAATATAACTATTTAACTAGGTGAACCATCAAGTTTGGAGGGCATTGATGTGACACCAAAACACAAAAAGAAAGAGAATCATTATGCATGATTGAAATTTCTAACAATCATGAACAAGACATTCTTGAGAACAAAATAATGTTGATTTACAACATTTAATTCACAAATTTGAAATGATGACCAAAAGCATAAAGTTGATTTATATGCATGGTGATTGCCCTTTACTCACTTCTCTATTTGGTCTCTTTGCAGTCATAATCCTTGAGAGGTCACCATGCCTTGCAAGCCTTTATAAGATAGAGACTTTTCATTCACGAGCATCACAATTAATAAAGATTTTTCTATATTTGAATTTTGTATTCTTTGATTTTTTTTTATTAAAATCTTCTATTATTTTTTTGACTTAATTGAAAATATCTATTTTTTGAGATTTTTTACGTCATATTTTTTATTATAACATCATCAATCAGTAATCTATATATAATATTATAAAGTAAAAAAATCTTGAAAATATATCGATCGGACAATCATTGATTAATGACATTATAAAAAGAATCGAAGCAAAAAATTTTGAAAAATAAAAAATTTTAATCAAATAAAAAAAATGTCTCAATAAAAAAATTCAAAAAACACAAGATTTAAATGTGGCAAAAACCAATAACTAATATTTATTAATACTAAACTCCAGGGTTTTTTCTCTTTAATTTTGTTTCTCTCACTTCAGTTTCTTCACCCATAAGTTCCTATCACCTTATGGGCCCAATGTTAGATTCAAAACAATTAAATAATTGCTCGTTGGAGAATGTCTTTAATCATAAAGTTATGGCTATGAAAACCATGATCTCAGAAAGAATAAAAGTGTAGCCAAAAGGGTTTGCTACCTTACAGGATTTCAAGCTATACTTCCAACAATAGAACTAATTGAAGTCCCATCTAAATGAAAGCTACCTCTTAACATTCTTAATTATATGATCTTTATGGCTAAAAAGCAAAGGATGATGGATTTCAGTATATACTCTATGATTCTTGCTTTTGTTTGTCTCCAAATTATGCCAACAAAGTAATCCACTACATTGCTAGCTATCGTGCATTACAAAGTGGTAAAGAAGAAAAGTCTGTAACTAAAGTTCTCCCTTTGATTTGCTATCAACTAATCCCTCACTATACTTGATAACGATGGGTGTTTCATATTATTAATTGGTCTAATTAACAGAGTTCGTCTGCAAAGCATAAAGGGCTTGACCAATATTTTTCAGCCCCACGACTTGTTTTTTTTTTTTAATGTGTGTGTGTATATATATATATAAGTAGGGGAGTATTTTTAGATTAGTTTTTGTGTTAATCAAGATTAAGTTCATTAATCTTTAAGTTAAACCAATATCGAACACGTTTAACACGTTTAATTTTTGGTTGACTATTAAATTACTTTTTAAGTCAAATCAGTTTAAATTTTATATTACTAAAAAATAATTATTTATAGATAATAAGAATTGAATCTTAATTTTAATCAAATCAAAACAATTTATCTTAATTTTAACTAAATTAATAAAAACAATTTCTTTACTTCTATATCACATTTTTTTATTGTGGTAACCCTGCCAGTATTCTGTCGTACAAAGAATGTAGGCATTGATTTATGGTTATCCATTTAAGCTATCATATCACGTGTAAGGGACACAAAATGCTTACTAGGATATTAAGTGTCTATGGGTTTTTCCTTCTAGATTCTTCATGTAGTGTTTTGATTTTTTTAACGTGAGGTTCATGTAAATGAAAGTTATAAAATTGATCAATGTAACGAATTTTAACATTGTTGGACAAATTACCTCTTGATAGTTGTAGGGAATTGACCTAGTAATGGCCGTATTGATTTTTTTTTTTTTTTTTTCACATGCGCATATAAAATTAAATGTAAATTGGGGTTATTGTCAAGAGGAAAAAAAAGTGTAAAAGGGTCTTGAGTTTTATTTTATTGATAATTCTTTTAACCTTTTCTTTTGAGAAGTTCTTTTAAAGTTGCTTTAATTTGAAGAAAAAGGTAAAAGCTTTTACCTCTAGATCCAATTTCCCCCCAAAATCACACACACAAAAAAAAAATCTTCTTTCTATGGCACCACAAAGGTAAATTACTTAAAACGTAAAGAGACGCAGATTTGAAAAGAAAAGCTAGGTCTACAAAAGCGCAAAAGAATGATGCACATACCATGACTTGCCATCAGGTATTGCGTCCAACAAGCACTTCTATAATATGTACAGCATGGGACTGAGAGAATTTGAGAATAATTTCTGGGCACTTCTCAGTTGCTCAGATTATGAAAATCTGAGTTTTATTCTGTAAATTGCTTCATACTTCAATTAGCACTTATTGGATTCATCTGAAACTTTTCTTGATAGGTTCAGGAATGGGGAGATTGGAATCTGGAAAACGTTATGCTACAGATATATATACTTTTCTGAGAAAACCTCATTTTTGTCCTTGATTGTCCTTGAAGTACTATTTGATTCTCAATTTCATCCCAAATCAATTAACTTTAACCATTTTATCCCTAACATATTTGAAATTAGACAGCATTGCCCCTCCGTGAAAGTATCATCAGGTGTTTTTTTTTCCATGTAATTAGTCTGTGAAAGGGTAACATTGTCTAACTGCTAATAGGTTTGGGATGAGATTGAGAACAATGTAGTACATTAAGGATGGTAACGAGATTTTGCCTACTTATTTTTAGCACCAAAGTTAAAAGATTAGTTCTTGTTTAGGAACAACAAAGCTAACAGGTTTGGGTTCTGAAGCACCTGAATTTGTTAAAATTCAAAGTTGTGTTAACTCCAAATCTTGAGAAGGATCAAATTTAATAATAATAAAAAATGCTACTTCTATTTTTTATTTTTTTTAAATATACTTACAAGTAGTGAAATATTTTCAAATCAATTTTCGTATCAACTGAGATTAAAGCATCACTTTTTATATTAAACCAATACAAAAACATATTTGATCTTTAATTGATTATTAAATTCTCTTTTGGATCAAGTCAGTCCAAGATATAATCACTTTTGTTTTTGTTTTTTGGGTAACGTAGTTAAGATGCATCTTAACTGCAGCATAACATTGTTTTGAATTTAATCTAATCATCACATCATTCTTGAATCTCAGTTGATACGAATATAATAGATTTCTTTCTCGTGCATGAGGTCCCAGGTAGCACAAATAAACCAGACTTGCGCTTCTTCAACTGTTAGACAGTCACAAATGAATAATGAAAAAGACTTGTTCAAAGTTCTAAAAAGATAGTCACTTCAAAAAAGAAACATAATTTGCACCTTTACAAAAAGAATATGCCAGTTTTTTCACATTTGGACAATACAACTTTATCAAGTGGGAGAGTAGATTGGAATCTTAACTTCCCTTTTCCCCTGTTTTCGAACTTTGTTTTTCTGGATACATGCCACCCCCTCCATCCTTCTTCCCATATTTCCTTTTGAAGAGTAAAATTAAAGAAAATCTCAAAAAGGGAAGAGAGAGAGAGAGAGAGAGAGAGAGAGAGAGAGAGAGAGAGAGTTGACATGATGAAGAAAGGAAAAGGGAAGCAAAAGAACCACCAAAAGCAAATCACTTTAGCAGGTTGAGATTGAGTAATTTATTTACCTGCATGCATGGGAAACAGTATTGGCTGTCAGGAAATCATGTTATGTTATCTTTGATCCATAAAACAAATGAAGAAGATAACCAGATATGAAATTGAGGCAAAAGAAAAGTTGGGATTTTACCGTTTCCTCCGAACACCCTTCTTAGGAAAGCAAGGAAAATAATGACAATTGCTACTCCAGCCAGTAGTCCAACAATAATTGCAAATGTCTTCTCACCATCATTGCTATATTTATCTGCAATTGTAGAAGAGTTAATGAACCGCAACTCATCCTAAAAATCGTAACACCTTTTTCTTATGATTCAAAACATCCCAATCTTGAATCTTTTCACTTTTCCAAAAGGAATTCTCTACCCTTTCCTCAAAATCATATACTTCACCCCAAAAAAATAAAAAAAAATCCATTGTTTTCTAACAAATTGGTTTTGGTGTAGTGATATTCTTTCTTGCACGGCGAGGGAAAGATGAAATTTAATTTCAATTCTAATATACCATCCTCGGAGTAAAAAAAAAAAAAAAAAAGGTCCAACACTTTCTGTGAGAAATCTTGTACCCAATTTGCAGAAATTCTATTGAGAATGTCAAAAAAAGAAAAAAAGAAAAAGAAAAAATTAAGTGCTATCAATAAATTAATCAAATCTTGAAAGCATGGCATACCACTATGACCCTTGGAATAAACATGAGGACCGCCGGTGGTGTAACTAGCATAGCACTTAGCCAAGAACATATCACCATAATCCGCCGTGCCGCAGTCCGATTTCAGCTTTACGATCGCCTCCGACAAACAATCCTGACATTGTCCGGCGCTTAAGTCACCGACACATTGGGCCACACCCTGGACATCACCCGACCCGCCAACCCGATAAGGGCCACCGGTACTAGTTAGGCTTCCTAACACTGAATCCCTAAGGTTCATAGCATCCGTATCATACCCAACCGAAGGCCCACATTTCTTCAACACCACCGTCTTATCTTCCACGCCCAAAAACGTCGTATTATCATACTTCACATAACATCCTTGTAGCTGCAATGCTCCACCACATGTCTGAGCACACAAAACTCCGAGTTGACTCACGGCACGGGCAACACACGTAGCACAATCCGGCATTGACAGGTCACCACGACACTGGTAAAGCCCATAAACAACATCTTGTGGACTTGAGCCCAGGATGGTATAGTTGTTGTAAGAAGAGTAAGTGGCTGAGTTGACAAGAGAAGTAAGGAGAGAATTAAGGTTGGACTCAAAAGGTGTGTCTTGTCCATATTTTTGCTGAGTACAGCCTCCAAAGACAAATGCGTCTGTGGAAGCTGAAAGTGAAGGACTAGGGAGAGAAGACAAAGAGATGAGGAATGTGAAGGTTAAGAGAAGTGAAGAGCTTGTTGTTCTTGCCATGTCTAGACAAGTTCTTCAGAGAGAGAGAGAGAGAAAGGATATGGAGGCAAATCTAAGCCGTTGGTTATGAAATTAACGTGAGCCTAATACAAGACTCTTGTCTCTCTCATTTCTGCCAATCTTTGAAGGGCTCTTTCTTTCTATATTAGAGGGAGAATAGGCCTTTATATATTAGCCAACAAGAAAAAAAATCGCTGGGGTCATTCGTGTAAAAAGAAGTAGCATGATTAAAGAATTTGTTTTAAATTATTATGTATTGATGTTGCAAAGAAGAATTATTAGATACTTACGAGAGTTGAATTGAAAAAAAAAACTTTATTCAATTAAACAATTGATTTCGAATTCAATTTATTTTGTACGTACGTAAAAAATTCGTTATGTAGTTGTTTTTATTTAATGTGTCCGATACAACAACAAAAAATTAATCTTAACTTTTGAACTTAAATACTTTAAGAAAAAATATAAAAAAAATTATTAAATAGGTCCAATACCTCGTAGGACATTTGTTTTGAATTGTTTTTTTTTTTTTTAATATCTTAAATAAGAGGTTGTCAAGTAAATTCTACATTTTTGTTTGTTATTGTATGTTTAGCATCTGCCGATGTAACCTCTTCTAGAAAAAATAATAAATAAAATAAATAAATAATAGCTCAAATTCCGATTGCTTAAGTTTGATTCTCTTTTTCTTATAATTAATACTAACAGCTAATTAGTGAAAAAAATATAAATTATATGGATCAAATCAAAGCAATTTGAATTCAAGTTTTTCGATTTAAATATTATTTTCATATCCATTCCTTGAGGTTTGCACATGTCATCTGCACACACGTTCATGGTTTACAACTTTGTTGGGGTTTCAGTAATTTTAAAAATTATATATAATGAGCAAAAAAATTTTACAGTGCCATCATTCAAAAAGAAAAGGATCAATATGTAATAATAATTAACTTTTACCTCTTTGATTATGGAATCTTGAATGAATGTATCAGCATGGCAAGTTGTATCCTTTCTTTGGGTTTGTCTTGGGTGCCCTCCTCTTTTTCTTTGGTAAAGAAGCTACACCCTTAATTAACCATATTAATTTATATAAAGTCATTTGCATTTTAATGATGACATGATATGAATTTTTAAATGGTGCATTACAAGAGATAATTGGTCAATCATTTTATTTATTTTGGAGCAATGATGGATAATTTCATGGCAATTGGAAACCTATCACTCCTGCAAAGGACGAAAATTGCTGTAATTCAATTATATCCATTTTTTTTATTCAACTTTAAAAAAGAATAATTAAAGCAACAGAAACTTTAAAGAAGCTTCTGGCAGTGAATATTGTAGGCCCAATAGGAAGAATTTTTTTTTTTTTACTTAAAAAAAAAAAAGAGATATAATGTGGAAAGAGATCGATGACTGCATGTATGTGCATGAACGAAAGCAATTATTTTGAAATTGGAGAATCTTGCCATGATAAAGTAAACTAAGAAATCCTCCTTAACAGAGTGACCGACGAGAGTATCATCGGGCAGCACTTGTAAATATTATAATCTTGCCATGCATGATGTCGAAGACACTTTTTTATTTTTTATTTTTTGATGTTATAGATATAAGAATATTTTCGATCTAATCTTTACAAAAATCGAGATCAGATCTATAAATTAGATCAATATTCGATCACATGTAATTTTTTTTATCAATTTTAAGAATGAGACTACTTGAATTCACTTTCAACTTGTGTCTAGTGTCACGCAAAATAGAAAGATGAGCTTTCTAATAGAAATTGAATCCTTTAGCAGATCAATTGAAAGCATTCTCCTTATCACTCCATTGATATCTCTATATATCTTGTTTACTATTGAGTTAATGCTGGTATTAATAACTAGCTTATATATATATATGGAAGAATTATAAAAAAAAGTGAAGATTTTTTCTTCTTCTTCTTCTTTATATATATATATATATATATATATATATATATATATATATATCTTGGAGACCTTTCTCAATTGTGCCCTATTGTCTCTCAATTAAGAAAAACAAATTAGTATTGCAATGAATATTGTCTAGTCATGCAGATCGTAGAGGTGAGGTAAAACAATTTGCACTGCCATTTACGACTTATTAATCAGACAACTCACAAAAAAAAGGTGTTTTTGCTCTTTCTCATTTTTATCCAATAATGCACATAACTTTTTCAAATGAAGACACACAAACAACTGTACTCATCGCATTACCTAGTCTCCATTCTACTTTTAAGGTACTTTGGTCGGACGGAGGGCAGCCTATATTTCCTCAAGGAAAAGGGAAGCTTAGAAAACAAGCAAAACTTTTGGGCCCCCTCCAAGCATTCGAGTACTGCTTCCTCACGGGTAAGTTCAACTATCGATGTACAGTTTTTGAGACACATAAAAAAGAAATTTTTTTACATAAACTTGTTCTGTTAAACTAAACAAAACTTATTGTCTTGGTTTATTACCTACACCCTATAAAAATCAACAGAGAATGACAAAGTATATGTATATAAAAATGTTTGCCTGTATATTTCTTTCCATTTTGGTAGAATCCCAGTTGAAAGTTATCCTCCAATCTCAAAGGTTCTATCCTATGTAAATAATTTGGGTGTGGGTGACACATTGCCTGGAAAAGAGAAGTGATTTAGTAATGACGAGGTGTGCGTGTCTGAGAGGTTGATTCAAATGATAAGGAGAGCATTTATTTGGTTTTGATGGTCTTAAATTCGAGTATTGTCACTTAAATTCAGTCTTCATATATATATATATATATGCATTTTATTATTGTTTTAAGAAATAAAGAAGAAAAAAATAAGTAAAAATTATGAAAAATATTTATGGGAAGATGATACATTTTATAAAATAAAAAATATTAAATTAATCATGACCAACGTTCGTTGAAAGGATTAAATAATTGGATTTTAAAACCAAATGGACTAATTAATTTGTTTCTTAAAAAGAGAGGGTCTAATTTATAATTTAGTCGTGTCAAATCACAAAGGAAATAACACTTTTTTTCACAATTTAGATGCTTAACAATATTTTAGTGGAAAGATTTCTTATTTGTGTGAGAAATTTGAATGGGATAAAACCATCATATTTAAATAAAAAAATCATAAAACTCGATTGTTTTTAATTAAAGTAAATAGATTGATCTGTTTTTATATAATATCCAAATTCTCTCGTCTATTCTTTGGTTTTTGAATCCATCTCATTTGTTTTTAAATTTTTTTAAAATATTCAATTTGTCCTTCGATCAAAATTTTTGATCGAAATATCTTTTATTAAAATGTGAAAAAAAAACACTTAAAGTCACATGACCTTCATATCTCTTTTTTTTTTTTTTTTGTCCTTCAATTAGGAGTATTTCGATTAAAAAAATTATAATTGATAAAATTGATTAGAAAAACAAGTTGAATATTTTAAAAATTCTAAGTAGAGATATATAAGTGTTATATAAAAATACATTAATATATTTATCTTTTTAATTAACTAGCGGATGCCCGGGGTTCAAATTTCTAAATAACACATGGATCATAGCTTTGAACTTGTCCTTGATAAGGATAAGAGTTATAATCTTTATTTTAGCTCTTATCCTTACCTAAACCACTCGGATATAACAAACCCATGCTTATCACCTTGGATTGTACTCGTATAAATACATTTGTAATATCTCATAGTATATGCAAAATATAGACTTTATCATGATACCGAAGCAGTAAAATGACTTAACAATCTATCCTTTTTTTCTTTTCTTTTTTGTTCCTTCCCATATATCCATTCTCACACCATGGCTGCTGAAACAACATAACAAACTTCAGCGTCTTCCCTAGCCTCCCATTCCATGAGTTCTCCCTCCATGACTTCTCCTTCCTTTCCTAATCTAAATACTCATTTTCTCCTTAAACTCATACCCATCAATTTTATTCTTTGAAAAACATAATTCTAACCATTACTGCATGCTGCCATGGATTGCTCGCCCTACATTGATGGATCTCAAAAAACACCTATTTCCACCATCAATGATGAATTGAATCCCACCTATATGCAATGGGAACGCAATGATTTATTGGTCCTCACTTGGATCATTGGCTCTCTCTCAAAAGTAGTCTTACATTTAGTGGTTGGTGCCACCATCGCTCAAACTGCGTGTGATTCCGGAATAAGGATACGGATTAACCACCTTAAAGGCGACCTTTATTGACTTGATCGGTGACCCAATGAGTCCGGTCCTTAGTTCTTTCAATGAGAAGAAAGTATGTTTGATACCCTTTAATCCCTCGGCTTGTATGTACTCGAGGATGATTTAGTGCAAGCACCTGCTCGCGTGGCTTCACCACTCCGTACAAGCCCTTCGTTCATTCCATTGAGTCTAGACATGAACCGATCAGCTATAAGACCCTATATGGTCTAGTTCTCAATGAAGAACTTCAACTGCAAAAGAGCATTAAACCAATAAAAAAACCCATGAAAATGCACTATGCCCATCGTCATTCCTCTCGTTGTGGCGAGAGGTCATCGTGGTATAAGACTAGCTCCTTCCAATTCATGCCAAGGGAATAATTTTTCTCCTCATTTGATGTCCGAATCTAATGTCATAATATGTTATAACTACAATGGTGTAAGATACCTAGTAAACATATATCTCTCTCCGAGATCTCGCCCTACCAAAAGTCTCCCTAAACCTACCTCTAACCTTGGATACTCCCACTCTTCTAACTAACCATGGATTATGAACACCGGTGCTACTCATCATTTAACGATGCAATTGGATAATCTTGTTATTCACAATAAGTATAATGGCCCCGAAGAAGTGCACCTAATTAATGGTAAATCGGTTCCTATATCTCATGTTAGTTCCGCCTCTTCTAAACCGCATAATCGTGTTTTTTCTCTTAACAATATCTTACATGTCCCTTTTAGCACTCAAAATTTACTATCCGAGAGTAGTTTTACAAAAAAATAACTCTTGTTCTATAGAATTTGTTTCGATAAATTCTTTACAAAGGACTTGGCTTCTTAGGAACTACCGCACATCGGACCCCTCGACAAACGTCTCTACACCTTCTCCCCGGATCATGCCTTAGGTCATCCCTTCTCCATTCAAGCTCATAGTACTACCTTAGAAACCCGGCATGCTCGACTTAGACATACCTCATTCAAGACTCGTTTATCAAGCTTTAAAGAATTCTCAATTTGTTATTCCTTTATCTAATGTTTCTTCATTATGTCATGCTTTTTCTCTTAGTAAAATTCATAAATTTCCTATTCCTTTATCTAATTATAAGGCTAAGGCACCATTAGAATTAATTTGTTTCAATCTTTGGGGATCCTCTCTTGTTCCATTTATAGATGGTTATTCATATTATGTTCTTTTTTATAACCACTATAATAAGTATTGCTGGTTATTCTTTCTTCACTATAAATCGAGGCTCTCAACTGTTTTATCAAATTCAAACACATTGTTGAAGATTTTTCAGATAGATCCATAAAACAATTTTAGTGTGGTTAAGGATGGAAATACAAGCCCTAACAAAGTACGTAAATGAAAATGGAATTTCTTAAAGAATTGCATGTCCCAAAATGCTAGAATAAAATGGTAGTGCTTGAGAGGAAACACCGTCATGTAGTAGAAATAGGCTTAACCCTTCTTAACCATGCTTCGTTCCATTACACTTTTGAACTTATGTCTTTGTTGCGGTCATTTACACTATTAACCGTCTTCCCACACCCAAACTACATAACTATTTCCTTTATCCCATCCTTTTTAATGACATTCCGCCTTATGATGAGTTAAAAAAATTTTGTTGCTTATGTTATTCGTGGTTAAGACCATATGCCGATCCACAAATAGCACATAAATCCTCTATTTGTGTTATTTGTGTTATGATTTGTTTACTAAAAAATTTTATATCTCACATCATGTCTTATTTAATGAATAGGTTTTTCTTTTTGCACTACCAAATCGAGTTCACCAAGTACTTACATAATCCACTAGAAACAATCTCTCTTTCATTGTCTTTACCAAATAACATCTTGCCACAAACAACTACACCACTAGTGTCCAATGTCCAAGCTCCTTCAAAAGTCCATACTACACAAGTGCCCTACAAAATCCATCAACTAGACATGTCCACTCTACGACCATCCATTCCGAACCCCATTTCCCATAAATCATTTCCTTTCCAAGAAACACGTAACTATAGTATCCGATAGTAGTCCCGTATACTCCACAACCCCCTACTTAAGCCATGCAATCACATCCAACATAACATAAATAACATTATCTCCCTCTCAAGCAAACACACATCCGTAGTCATTGACGATAGCCTTAAATTCTCCACAATCCCTTTCTCATGCCATAAAACCACATCTAACACAAACAAAGAGCCTTCATTCCTTTCTCATGCAATACAACCACCTCCAAGACGCTAGCCACCCGATCACAACTCGTTGACCTCACTTATGATATCAATCATTACTAGATGACCAATACTCATAGTACTTCGAGTAAGCAAACCAACTCCAGCTCCCTCTCATAGAATGCATATTCGTGCCCGGAGTGGTAACTTAAATCTATGAAAATTTTCAACCACCGTCCATCCCTCCGAACCTCAATCATATTTCCAAGCTCAATCTCAATCGTATTGGCAAGTCGTCATAGGCTGCTGAAATGTAGACTTTACTAAAAAATGATACATGGGATCTTGTTCCTAACCGTCCCTCATATAATGTCATTGGTAAAAAATAGTTATACAAGGTTAAAACCAAGTCCGATGGTACCCTTGATCGATATAAGGCATGTTTGGTAGCGAAAGGTTTCAACCAACGTCCCGGTCTAGTGATCAAACCAGCGACTATCCGATTGGTCCTCTTCCTTGTTGTCTCACTTGGTCGTATAGTAGAACAACTGGACGTTCAAATGCATTCCTCCATATACCCTTATAAAAGATGTCTACCCGATATAACTAACGGGGTTTGTTGACACAATGAGACCAACTCATGTTTGTAAGTTGAAGCAATCACTATATGGCTTAAAACAAATATCGTGCCAATGATTTAAATGCCTTCAAGATAAATTGTTATCCTTAGGCTTTACTAGCTCTCAAACGGACATATCTCTATTCTTCGGGAAGTCCGGCAATGATATCACCTTTTGCTCGGTCTATGTTGATGATTTACTTATAACGAGAAACAATGATCCTATGCTCAACTCTACAATTTTGGCTTTGCAAGCTGCCTTTGTTGTTAAACACTTGAGGCCATTGCATTACTTTCTTGGTATATGAGCACATTAGCAGTCAAGTGGTCTCTTCCTTACTCAATATCATTATGCTACCGAACTTATGATACAAGCTCACATGCATCATGCTAAGGGACTCGGCACATTTGTATGCCCTAACACCAAACTAAGCGATAACTTGTGCAAGGCATTTTCAATTCCCTTCCTTTATAGAAGCATTGTAGATGGGTTGTAATATCCGGGTATTACTAGACCCGATTTATCCTACTCGTAATAAGATGGCTCAATATATGCATGCTCCTACTCGAAGCACACTTAAGTCGCTATTAAAAGGATCCTTCGTTATCTTCGGGCTAACAAAGTCCATCGATTATCTATCCAAAAACCATCCTTAATCTCAATCAATGCTTACACGAATGCTGATTGGGGTAGTGATGTAGATTATCGCAAAAGCACATCCGGATTTGACATCTATCTCGATAAAAATATGATCTCTTGGCGATGTAGGAAATAGCAAACGGTTGTTCACTCATCTACCGAAGTCGAATATCGAGCCTTAGCGACAACTTGTGTGAAGGTGGATTGGATAGAGTCCCTCTTATGAGAAATTAGAATGATGTGTCGTACTCCATTCATAATTTGGTGTAATAATGTCTATGCCACTTATCTCGCTACCACTCTTATTTTTCACTCACGGTCCAAACACCTCGAAATTGATTTTCATTTAATGAGAGATAAAATCGGACAATGGACACTTCAAGTTTGTTATTTGTCTACGATTGATTAGATGGCGGATGTCATAGCTAAGCCATTATCGAAAGCTCTATTTCACAAGTTCAAATCTAAGTTACGCATTCTCCCAGCTCTCGCATAACTTGCAGGGAGGGTGATAAGGATAAGAGTTACAATCCTTTATTTTAGCTTTTATCCTTACCTAAATCACTTGGATATAACAAACTCATGCTTATCACCATGGATTGTACTCGTATAAATACACTTGTAATATCTCATAATATATGCGAAATACAAACTTTATCGGTCTTATCGTGTATTGTAAAGGACCATCACATGGATATTAGCTTTGAACTATCTCACCCAAAAATTTAAGATTTAAATTTTCTAACAATCCTTTAAATGAAAATTGTTTAGGTTTGAGACTTATATACACATTACTTTGTGCTTAATTAATTGAAAAATAAATAAGGATAATGAGATTCAAATTCGTGACATTTCGATCATCGGGGTTCGATATTATGTTAAGAGACTATCTCATCCAAAGGATTAAGTCTGTTAGATAAGACTTAGGATATAATTTATATTATTTTCTAACATGTAGAGTCTATTCTCAACTCAAATCCATCAATAACTATGGATCTTTTATCATCCTTTTCAAACAGAAGACAAAAAAACAGCCCAACTAGGTAATGTCACTAGGTATAATACTCCTGCATGCGAGATTAATTGCTCACTAATGTTCTTAGGGTTCTAATATAGTAGCTCATGCAGTCACAGAAGCATCATCCTTGTCTTCGTATTTCTGTGATTTACTGTTAACAACATTGGGCTTCAATTGCTTACCTACGTAACCACCTTGTCTCTGTACTGTATGTCCACCCTTCCTTATGAAATGTATGTCTTGCATGCATGCACCGTTGTTCTAGCATCTTGAAAATACAGTCACATGATGTTGGCAGTGTATGGTCCTTAAGACGTAAGAAATAGCATTCTCTTCACGTGAATTTTGCTTCACCTTAATTCAGCAAATTAAGGGAAGAAAATTAATTAATTAACCTCCGAATTAATTATTAAGTTCAATCAATTTTGTTTTTTTCAATCAATTTTTTTTTTCAAGATCTTTAAGGTCTAGTAAGAGTTTGTAATAGGATTGATTACTAGCAGGTTTTATCCTCGAATTCATTCAATTTAAGAAAACATGAAAAATCCTGCTGTCTGAGTCGTGGGAAATTATTTCCCTTAATTTAATAAGTAAATTTGAAATTTAACAATAAAAATATGTATTCTTGAAAATGCACTCACTAATTATTTTAGCTAAAATTTTCATTTCTCCCTTTTTCAAATCTAGGAGAACTACTTTCTCCGTCCCAAAATAATTATTTGTTTTTTATTTATTATTTGTCACAAAATATTTATCGAATCAAAATTTTAAGTGATGTATTTTTAAAAAATATTCTAATTAAATCTATTGTGTAAAATATTGTCCAAATACAATTTTTTTTTTAAAAAAAAGATATTTTAAGAAAACATGAAAAAATGCTGATATAGCATAAAAAATAATAACCTTTTTAATTTTTTAAAAAAAATTACAGAAAAATTACAATCTATTCAGAACGAAGAGAGCAATATCTAGATTAAACACACACACGGTAGAGTGTTTTTTCCAAAATTTCTAGGCTGATATTGGCCACAACTTACACATATAGGGTGGGGCATTTCGAAATTAATGTTCCAAAATTTTTGTTCTCACTTCCCAACAGGACCCTTTAAGGCATGGTCTCTCTCACTCACTCACACACACACATCTGCACAATCACATGCAACTTTTGCTGTTTCCATTGAAATTTAGCCACCATGAACTAGGTTTTGGTTGTTTCTCTCCAAAGAAAAGGAGGAAAGAGATGTTAGATGGAAGATGTCATATTCAATAATGTCGTTTAAGATTTATGGTATTTTGTCTTGATATCTCAATTTGCCAACACTACAGTTGTGGTGTAACACTTTACCAACTGGTGTTTGGTCATTTTGCTTCCTAGATAACAATTCTCATGGGCAGACCACATCCTTTTTTGCTTGTCTCTCTTTCTGATCCTTGCTTGAAGAAGCTTGTGCTAACTCAGTTCTTACACTTCTTTGATTACCTTATGGTTTTCAAAAACATTACAAACTTATGGTTTGGTCAGTTTGATGTTAATTTATAAAGTTGTAAAGCCCAATCGATATTATGCTCCACAATGAGACAAGAATTTAAAATGATTACATGAGTTCAATTCACCGTTAATCATTACTTTAAAAAAAATATGAGTTTCATATTTATAAAATGACCGAATTCACGTAAAATATACTTAAAGTGAGTCGAGTTCACCCTATTGTTTCTCAAATAACTTGCGTTAAACACTTCAATTCATATAAAGTTTTATGCAAATTATGTAAATTGTTTTAAAAAATTTTGGTTGACTATTATACTCTTAATATATCACCGACATTAATATAATATACTATAAATATTAATAAGTAAATTCAACCATACTTTTAATTAAAAGAAATATTAATTCTTGAACGATATCTTATTCTCTAGAATGAAAGCTAAAATATCGATTTTTTATATATATACACATTGTTATAAAATCTTAAATAAATATAGCAAACTATATATTACTTTATTTTGACTATTAGAATTCTAAAAAAGCTTCAATTTTTAAATAATTTATTAATTTTTTGAAAAAAAAAATACCATAAATTTGTTAAATAATATATGTGAAAAGTCCAAGGAATCAGTTAAAAGAAACTAAAAAAGAGAGTTTTCAACAATGATTTTCACTCTTCATCCCATCGCATGCCATTGTTCACAGATTGCATATGAGTGTGACATTTTTGTGATTTTTCAACTATTTTTAGACGTTTATATTTAAAGTTTACATCATATTTCATTTTGATCCTTAAAGTTTTTAAATCAAATTTTAATCCCCAGGGTTGCTTCATCAGCTGGCTTGCTCGATTGGGCCTTAAGGAGGCCCAAGGCAGGCATGCAGGCTTGCCTCATCTTTTTTTTTTTCCTTTGGCTTTTTTCTTTTTTTCCACTAATTTATGTTATTTTTATTATTGAATTAGGTGTGAAAATAATGAAAAATTCATTGCAATTTTTTTCTCTTCTTTTTTTTTTTTGGTTTTTTTCACCAATTTGTTTTTTTTTTTAATTATTGAATTGGGTGTGAAAATTATGAAAAACAAAAAAAAAACTTTTCCACAAGCTAACGGTTATGAAATATATATAATATGTTTTTATATTTTAGAATAAATAAATATATTGAGTTATATTATTTTTATTATTTAAAATTGATATCTTCAATTTACGTTTCTTATAAAAATTCTCATCATGTTAATTTTTTATTCTTCTTTTTTACGTAATTTTATTTCTTAATAAATATGATTTATTTTCTCTTATGTATGGATTTTTGAATAATTTTTTTATTTTTTATTTACTTATGTTTTATATAATCAAATTTTAAAAATAGAATTCACTTGTTTTATTTACTTATTCTTAATTTATATAATCAATTTTTATCGAAATCATTTTTTTATTACACCCTACTAATTTCAATATAGTTTTTATAATTTTTTTTAAATCAATTTATCCTGCACACTCGACCCAGTGAATACGATCATGATGCGTAAAAAATATATATTAGAGTTATTGATTTTATTGAAAATTAATTATGCATCTACACTACACTCGTAATACCAAAAATTGCTATTATTTTTATATTTTAAAATTATTTTTTCAAATAAAATAATTAAAATAATTTTCTAGAAGAACCATCTAATAATTTAAATATAATTTTTTATATTAATATTATTGATTATTTTATAAATAAATATATATAAATCAAATGTACATAGATTCAAAAAAATATTCTTCTAATCGATATATATATATATATATATATATATATATATATGTTAATTTTTATACAGATTTTTATGTTGCTTTATTTCTTTAATATAAAGTTATAAAAATATTTTTGAAAAAAAATTCTATTTAGATTATTGTGGATTTTTATTTAAGAATAAATACATAAAAAAGAATAAATTATTTTTTTAACTACAAAACTTATTAAAAATGAACCAAAAAAAATAAATACAACGCATCGCGAAAAGCCAAGTTATTACTAATTATGCAATTCAGTGAAAAACCGGTCGGGTTCCCTGCAGTACTTTTTTCATCATTGTAGTCATATTTATTTATCGAATGGGCTAGCCAATATCACCAAAGCTTTGATGGAGGTCCGTACGACGTCTCAGGTCCAAGAGTATCAAACACCCAACTTAAGGGCCCAAAAGTTCGCAGTAAAGGGAGCAAACAGATAATCCACACTCCTGCCAATAGGGGTGTTCATTTGGTTTTTCGATTCGATTTCGGTGTTTTTTTTTCTGTTTTCGGTTAACCAAATTGGCTAAAATAAAAACCGAACTGAATTGTTGTTCGGTTTTTCGGTTAAAAACCAAAATTTTTTTCGATTTCGGTTTTCGGTTAAAAACCGAATTTTTTTTTTTTTGCTTTTTTCTTCTAAAAATCGAATTATTTTGCTTTTAAAAAATATCAAACTTGTATAATCAAAGATTGCATATTTCACATTTGATTTTATAAGAAAATTATGTATGATTATTGTTATTTTTCTATAATAAATATGTTTCTATTTAGATTATAAACTAAATTAGTTGAGCTTCTCATTATTTTTTCAATCACGCTATAATTGGTTTTTTATTAATTTTTCATATTCTTTTTTTTAATCTATTTATTTTGTGCATATTTTATTGTTGAATATATAATATGAAAAATTCAATTTTTAATTTATGTTTGTGCCAATTTTAATACAAGGAGACAATTTTTTTTTCATGAGGTTTTAGGATTCACCTATAAATTTGTGTTTTCATAAAGAATTTCTTTATCATAGTCTTTTTTTTTTTTTGTGAGTCAATATAATATAATAAATTATTTTTTATTTCAATAAATAATTAATGAAAATATTTCTATTTTAAGTAGAAAAAAAATCATTAAAGCTATTATTCTTTTAGTTAAACCCATAGGTGCCTCTTTAATTTTTTTTTTTTTAAAAAAAGGAGTTTGAGTATGTGTTTAAAAAAAGAAAAAAACCTAATTTGGTTTTCGGTGGAAACCGAATTTGAAAAAAAAAATCGAATTGAACCGAAATAATTTCGGTTTTCGATTTCGGTTTTTTTATTATTTTTTTATAAAAAAAACCAAATCGAAATTGTTAATTCGGTTCGGTTCGGTTCGCTATTTCGGTTTTAACCGAATAGTGAACACCCCTACCTACCGGAGGAGAAATTTTATGTATTCAATCACTTATTAATAATATTTATTCTACTAGAAAGATACGGACACAAAGAGACCAAGAGAAAAAATAAATAGAAGAAAAAAATTAAATTTAAGTAAAAATATTTTTATAATTATTAATTGGTATATGATTTTCTTTCTCTTTTTTGTCTGTTTTTTTTTTCTCAAAATAAACTTATAAAATAAGTATTATTAGTTATTTTTTGAATATTTTAAAATTTCTCTAGTGTCCTATTCATTCGGGCATTTCAGAATGATTGGTTTGCAAAAGAAACTTTATTATAGGAAATCATCTTTAATATATAGTTACACTTTGATGTGGTTAGTTTATTCCCTCAACCCAAGATTTTTCTATAAATTTTCAATAGATTTTGAAATAATTTGATATTTTAAAGTTTAATATTAATATAGTAGGGATTTGTTTTTACTTAATTTTAATATAGTTTAACCTATTAACTTCTTTTTTTTTAACATATCTTATAATGAAAATTAAAAAAATAGATTAATAGCATAAGAATTTTAAAAAAAAATCTAAAGTTCAATTCAATTTATTATCTTTTACTTTTTTAATATTTATTTATAATTTGAAATTCACACATAAAGTTGTTCATTTTCATTATTTTATGTGTACAGTACACTTTTTCATTATTTTGTACGGACAGTACGCTTTTCAATGAAAAACATTCAACTTATCCAAGCATGTTCTGAATAGAAAGTTCAAGTACGGCTTATCCAAGTAACTCAATAGCAGAAAGTTCAAATACAGCTTATTCAAAAATACTCTTCAAATACTATGCTATACAAAGAGCAACTTCAAGTAGTGTTGATTAAATATTTTAATTTCATCGATGTTAAATATTAAGAAAAAACTAGAGATAATATAACAGCCCAAACTTATTTATAATATTCTCTGTCGATTATGTTATGGTCGAATTTCTATTCATGACAATATGATCATCCAATTCATAGTTTTTTTTTAGTTTGTACTAAAACGTTAAAGCAAATTAGCCTAAAAACCCCAACTCGTTCCAATTCAAATATAACCTTCTAAATTTGAATAATGTGGAATGATTTTAGCAATCAAAGATCATCTTCAATTTATTATAAATATCAATCTCATATCATTATAATTGAGCTGAATTTTAATCTCTAACAAAATAAAACCTTTGAACTCTCTCAAAACTCGCATATTTTCTTACTATTTTTTCTTATTATTTATCATCTCTCTTTCAATTATATTAGTTTCACTACAAAAAACATCTAAATAACGATGGATTAGCAAAAGATTAACGATTGATATAAATTTTTTGACATTTTGGGTCAATAGCTATGGATTAACGATGAATTTTCAACGAGTAAAACAATGTCATCATTGAATTACATGGTAAATTTTATACGGTTAAGTCAATGATGGAATACCAACCGAGTTACGAGGGATTTTAGTGATAAATGATGTTTTTCATTGCTAAATTTGGGAAGGATGTGGGGAGAGATGATTTAACGACGGACTTTAGCGATGGATGATGTTTTTCATCACTAATTAAGAGAAAAAATAGCTCAATTTAAAATCAAACGATGACAAAAAATTATCTTCAATAATGAACTCAATTTCGTGGCTAAAAAAAAATGGTGTATTTTTTGAAAAACAAACAATGAGGGATGATGTGTTAAGTTGCTAATTTTAAGATTTTAGCGACATATGATATTTTCTATCGCTAATTAAGAGAAAGGATAGCCCAATTTCAAATCAAACAACGATAGAAACTTATCTTTAGCAACGGACTAAATTCTGTCACTAAAAAATGAAAAAAAAGGTACATTTTAAAAAATCAAACAACAACAAATAATGTTTTTTGTCACTAATTTTAGGATTTTAGATATGGATGATGTTTTATGTTGCTAATTAAGAGAAAATATGGCCCATTTTAAAATCAACTAGCAATGAATATTTATTTTTTAGTGACAAAATCACATCCATTGCTAAAAAAAATTCCATAAACCTAGCGACTTCTTCTTCTTCTTCTTCCTAAATTTTCTTCTCCTCTCTCACTCCAGCCACCTCTTTCTTTCTTCTTCCGACGACCTCCTTCATTAGTCTTGGACCTCCTCCTCCTTCACCTTTTGTTTTTTGACCTATCTTCTCTTGTAACACCTTCGATCTAAGACCTAAAGTAGGTCGAAAGTATTACCAAGCATTGCCTTACATTCGAAGTGTAACGAATGCAAGACACGAAACCTCATGACCTTTTCTATTTTAAAGTAATTAACATTTATAGTGGAAGTTCCTTAATTTAAAAGTTTAGGTCCATCCTTTTATTCATTACACACTAATTACAAATTTATTTCCTTAATCTTTCAAAGATAATTCACCATTTAATATTTTTAGTCATTGACACTTTATTAATTTGACTTTTAATTTTTTTAATCAATTTTTTATTTAATTAACTTAATCTTTTTGTTTAATTAGCAATTTACCTGCTAAACCAACAAATAAATAAACATCTTGTAATATTTGTTTACTCATTCATTCCTGGTCTAAGTCAACAAAGTTACCTAGATCATTTAATATGGAATGAGTTAAACATGTATCAATTTTTACAATACACTTTGGCAACCTCTTTTAGCACCTTTTCTTCGGCTCACCAGTAGCTTTACTTTGAGTCTATATATGTTCCCGAATTCCTACACCACAAGATAACTTGATGAGCTTACGCTCGGTAAGTATAGTCATGTAATGCATGATGCAATGAAATAGATTTTTATGACTTTGAAATAAATTTTCTATGATCATGTGTACCCTACCGAATGTATTTATATATATTCAGCTATTCATGAAAAACATGTTTGTAGAAACTATGAAAAATGCTAGACATATCTCTTGTGAAGCTTGTGATGTTCACAATTGTGAATCATGATTAAACCTATAACCGTGATGCACACAAAGAGAATGTGACACTTACAAAGAGTTGATTATTCTCTTTATGTGCTATGATTGAGCCTGTAATTATGATTAGAACATACCTAGCTATTTTCTTGAAACTCTTTTGTGCTTAATTTTATCTTTGAAAATATGACCGTGATGAAAGTTTTTTCATGACGTGTATACAATTGATGACTATGATTGGGTTTTCTCTTTGATCGACTGGCCCTAATAAGAAGAAGAGAACGAGGAAAAGTGAGTTTTTACAGGTAAAGTGTAGGAATGAATGGTCAAATTTCTTTTTAGTCCCTCATCTTCTATGTCTTTTTTGTTTTGATTCGATGACGTTTTATTTATTTTCAATTTCACTCCCAATCAAATTCATTTCGGCCCCTTTCTTTTCATTCTTTTAATTTTGGCCGAATTTGTATCAATTAAAAGCCATTGAATTTTTTATTCTTCTAATTATGCCTTCCAATTAAATCTTTTCGGTCTTTTTTTAAAAATTGTTTCATTTGATACTCGAATGCTTCTTTTCAATTTATTACTCTCCCCCCCCCCCCCCTCTATTTTCCTTTCTCAATTGATTGTTTTTGGAAACTCATGAAATTAAATATAATTCATGAAAACTAATAAAAAAAAGCTGAAATGTTGAAAAATCAAATTGACTAAGAAATATGTTTAATTTTTGGCATTTTTAGATTTTTTATAGAAAAATTCATAAAAATGCCCCCCCCCCCCTCTTTCTCAATTGATTATTTTGGAAACTCACGAAATTAACTATAATTCATGAAAACTAATAAAAAAAAGGTGAAATGTTGAAAAATCAAATTGACTAAGAAATATGTTTAATTGTTGGCATTTTTAGATTTTTTTATAGAAAAATTCATAAAAATGAGGGTTTAAATTAGGTGCTAACAAGAAGTAAATCAAATTGTGTATGCATGCTTTCAGGAAAGAGGCAGATGATGATGGATGCAAAACTTTCTTCAAAGGTATCAGTCTCCATGTCTGACTGCAAAACTTTTGACTGTAAAACAGCCTGTAAGCGAGAACTTGGAAAGAATGGCGTAGGGATTTGTGAAGGCTCTGTTTTATGCACATTGTAGGTGCCATGCAAATGAAGTGCAGTAGTTATTTATATATTTATTTATTTTATCATATAAAACCAAATGTTTACTTATGTGGAGCCATAAAAAAAAAAAAAAAAAACATTTTTCTTAGTTAGATTTTTTTATTTTTAATCCAACACGAATAAAATTTCGGGAAACGATGATTGTTTTCAATAATGCTTGCGGGCTGCGGCAGTCATCCAACATTTTTCTAACTAGTAATTTAAAAAAATTTAATTTTTATTTTGATTCATTTGGATGTCCATGTTAAAAAAAATTATGCATTGTCCATGTTAAAAAATGTAAAAAAGTCCAAATAATTCCCTCCACTGATAATTTAAATTTTTTATTTTATTTTATTTTTTTCAGTTTTGGAAAATAAAATTTTAATCTTTCAAACTATTTTTTTTATTAAAAAATAGTTAACTTAAGTGTATAGATACATGAAACACATTTAATGAGAAATAGAGTTTTAGACAAAGGTCATATTTATAAATGGAAGGTTATAGTTGTAAATAAAATACATTGTGAAGGAATTACATTGATCATATTAGTACAGATTAGAAGGACCAACTAATCAAATCCCAATATAATTAAGAGAAATGATACTAAATTTCTTCTTAAGTTATGGATATCACGAAGACAATGATCCAATATCAAATATATTTTTTAAAATCTTTCAATATATCTCAAGTTTAAAATTTCAAATAATCTCTTATTGTTTTATCAAACACACAAGATAAGAATGATTATTCAAAAAAAATTATATATATATAAATATTCGAATTCAAAATTATTTGTTTAAATGACTAAACTCATTTAGACGCAAACCAACCTTCCTAAATGACATCACTATATTTTGATTCAACTAATAAAATCATCAATTAAAATCAAAATCTAATTTGCTTGATTAATTTCTCTCATTATTGTTGAATGAATCGAGGCAGTGACTTCAGCCTTTTCTAGTTAGATAATTAATGGTCTGTTTGTCAAAATGTCATAATTCCAGCCAAATGCCATCATGGTGAAGGTAAACGCCTCTCCAGGCAACGTAAATGACTGGCACAAATCATGAAAATATTCATGAACGGCTGGTGTATGTGTTAGCTTGTTGAAACATTGAAAGAAGACAAAATTAAATTTCTGATTGCAGCAAGCATCAATATTGTTGAATTGTTCAACAAACAAACAAAGAGTAATTAATAGGTAGAGAGAGAGAGGAATCTATTTGACAGTCCCTTGATTATTACAACAATTTAGGAAAACCCTCAGGATTGTCATGTCGAAACCTACGTTAGAATTATTTCTCCCATGAATACATCAAATCAAATTCACCACTAGGAATGTTTCTCAAAAATAAACCATCATCTTTCGCGATCCAAAAGCATTCCTTGTAATTACATCTCCCAAGAATATCATCATCCCTCCAAAACACTTTGAAAGAACCATGGCCACTTGCCCAGTTCATGCCACACCAGAATAGTGTGGTTCCGAGGATGTTCATCCTGAATGTCCAGCTGGTTTCAGCAGAAGCTGCAAGTGCATGCTCACCCAAATCATCATCTTTGGATTGGCAATGGACCTTCAACACATTGCTGCTGCTTAAGCCATTGATAACATGAACATGGTATTTGGGTCCTGCGATAACAAAAGAGTTACTCATAATAGCTAAACCTAGTATGATTATTAAGACTGCATAGCTCCTAGCACCACTCATTTTTCTTTTCTTAAGAAAATATTTTCTGCAATCCAATCACTAAATTGTGATGGTAATTAGTTATTAAGATTCAAGTTCAATTTATAGATGGAAATGGAGGATGATGTTGTGCTGTCACTTACATGTTCCCTATTGGATATTGCCATTTGCAAAATGGAATCTGGGCTGAGTTCTTGGTATAGTGGTAAAAATGGAAAATGCAAAATTGGTAAACGGAAAATATGAGAGAATATCTCAAACATTAGAGGGGAATATTCAATTCTTCTCTTTTACCTAAGGATGACAATGGTACGAGTACAGAACATATATTTGTTTTATCTGATCTAATAAATATTCGTTAAAAATATTCAACGGGTATTAAAATAAATAAGGATAAAAAATACATACCCACTAATACGGTTTCGGGATATTGATATCCACTTTTTATTCTATTAATACCCACTAATTTATTTGGATTTGTTTCATTAACATACATAGATCTAATTTCATAAAATTTTAAAATTAAGGACTAGAATATTTTTTTCAAAAACTTTGAGGGAAAAAAACATAAATAAATGACCAAAACGGAAAAAAGGACCAAAAAAAACTTTTGTTAAAAATTATAAGAACTAAAATGAATATTTTTTGAGAAATTAAATTTAGTGGGTATTAAATGGATGGATAAATTAATATAGGGTGAGTAAACATTTATATAGTGATTTTTTAATGAGTAATGGACAAGATATTTTTCTTATAGATAAAGTAAAAAAATAAATTAATAAGCCAGATATCCGTACATAGTCATCCTTACTTTTACAAGTGAAAGTTGAGGCAATTGATTATTATTAAATAATAATTATGCATGTTAAATCCTACATTTATTTTATAGGGAGATTATATATATATATATATATATATTGCTGTTATACCCAAAATTTAGATTTCTTAACAATTGCACGTTAAATTTATTATTGCAGCAAGCATCAATATTGTTGAATTGATAGGGTTTTTTCATAACTATAATTCACTTAAGATAGTTATGACAATTGAAGCCGAACCCAATGACTGCCACCTAAATTAATCCAAACGGATAGGTTTTGTTTTGTTTTTTTTGTTTTAAATAAATATTTATTATTTTAGTTTCAAATTGGATAGTGATATTCAAAATCCTTATTCGTTTAGTAATAGATATGACATAGATATTGTCAAATCAAACCCGAAACTCAATTCAAAATAGATATATTAGTATATATAATATTTATATGTATCTCAAATATATATATTATTCTTTTATTGATAAATTGAATATAAATATAAAAATTTCTCATATGATGGAATAATTAATAAAGTATGAATATCTAAAATTTGATTATTAGCCCTTTCCATATCTAACTTAAGAAATTAAAAATTAGGTTTGGAAAAATTTCAAGTTAATATCGTTAATATTTTTTGTAATTTGTTTTTGTTAAAATTTTAACTATTATAATTTTTTTAAAAAAAAAGAAAGAGGAAATCTCAATTTAGCTCCTAATATACTACTTCAATGTCAATTAAATTGTAAATCTTTTGGTTTTATCAATTTTACCTCAAATGTAATCGTTTTAGATAATGTCTCCATCTATCCTTTGTCAGTGTCAGTTAAAAAAGATTATGTCTAATTAACATGTTTTGCATGTGATCGTTAATTTTTTTTTGTTTTTTTGAATAAATGATAATATATACTTGTGAAGTGTTTTCATCCAATACACAAAAACAAACTTAATTTATGCTAATGATAAAATTAAGAAAGTGTATATTTTTAAGTTTACTATCTTAAAAGGGCAAATTAAAGCCAGTGAAGTTGGAGAGAAATTTAGTACAATTTGGAACTAAATTGGGTGTTTAGGACAAATAGGGATTTATTTTGGCGTCTGTAATGGATGAACCATGGAGAGGGGACATTGTCTAACTTTAATTACTTTTAGAACTAAATTAATAAAATAAAAAGGTTTGAAAAGTCAATTGATAATAAGGTAATATGTTAAAGGGAAAATTGAGGTTTAGCAAAATTGTCAAAATTCTGATTTATGAGTTTGAAAAATCAAAAGGCCAAATATGGTTTGGTTTTATTGCAAAAATTACTTTCATTTTATTGCAATTTGGTAATTTTAGGTTTTTATTATTAATTTGCGTAATTTGAACTCTAAAATATCGATTTTCGGACAAATGTTATCTAAATCTCAATTTCTTTATTATTTATAATGATCAACCCAATTGATTGTGCGCGAAATGCTTAACTGATATTGTTTAAGCATTTTGCTATTAATTTTTTAAAAAAAGTTTAGAATTAAATTTTCACTACCATGGCTCATCCATAACCCAACCATCACTAATGCACCACTCCACAACCACGCTTCCACCGCTATAACCACCTAGCCATAACTCAACCTTGCCACCTCTCCTAGCCCAAGACCCATTGTCCAGCCACCTCATTCGAGGCTCAAAAACAAACTAGCCAGATTCCACGTCGTTCACTCTCACTAGATCCGCCATCTTTAATATTGGCAATGACCATCACCTCCATCGTCGTCTCTCGCTCATTTAAACCCGCATCAAAGCCACCTTTGTCATCATACCTCTCCCAATCAAGCCATCAACATCAAACCAGCCACCACCACCATAAAACCCTTCAACATTGAGCCAGCCACTATCGCCACAAAACCTACAACATCACCATTGTCAAATTTTGAAGAAGAAGCCGCAAAATTGACCAAAAACCTAAAGCACTGTAATACTATCTACCCCCTCCAATTTTATGATCCTAAATCAATCTCACTGTGTCTTTCTTCATCTCTCTTCGATTACAATCTCTCTTCCTCTCTCTCCTTAATTTTGAACATTTTCTTTTTTCAATTTTTTTTTTAAATTAATAGCAAAATGCTGAAACGATATCATTTAAGCATTTTGCATAATGATCAACTTGATTAACCTATTAAAAATAATAGAGAAATTAAAATTTGAAGAAATTTTTGTCTAAAAACCAATATTTTGGAATTCAAATTATGCAAATTAGTAATAAAAGTTTGAAATTGCTAAATTGCAATAGTTTGGATTAGTTTTTTACCCGCGCTATGTTACGAGTCGGATAGAGCATGTAAATTTATTTTTAAAAATAATTTTAATTTGATAATACGTATTATATCGTGGGTCCACTAAAATATATCAAATCAAAAGTAAATTTTTTTTTTAATTTTGCGTTTAGCTAATTATTCATTATGTTTTTCTTTTTTTCTTTTTTTTGCTAAAAAGAACACGATTTATTCTTCGTATCCGGATTCTTAACTAAAAACTTGTGAGAAAATTCAAAAATCCATGGATTTTTAAGTAAAAACTTTTCTTATAATTATTGTTTTCAAAACAATTTGAGACAAATTATCTAAAAAACACTTTTAATCTTTAGATTGTATATATATATATATATAACACCATGCTTTACCATTTAAAAATTAAAAGAATTTTCAAATTATATCAATTTTTTTAAGAGCAAATAACAATATTCTGAAAATTTATTAAAAAATCCATACATAGGTTTCTCTCTCATCCCTCCTCTCTCTTTATTTCTCTCTTCTCTTAGCAACTAGGGATCAAATTATAATACAAAAACGTTGTGGATTAAAATAAAAATTGTTAAAAAATGAGAGATGAAAGAACAAAATGAGCAAAACTTTACATACAAAATACTTGAAAAACCTCATAATTACTTAAAAAAAAAAAACCATTGAATGTATAGTAAAAAAAGGATGAATACTGTTGTGAGAGAAATAAATGCCTAAAAAATTTGAGATATGTAATTTACAATATACTAAAAAAAACTATATATATATATATATCATTTAAAAATTAAAGAATTTTTCATATAAATTATACCATTTTTTTTAAATAATAATATTCTAAAAATTTATTAAAATTTTCATATTTAGATTTTTCTCTCCCTCCTCTCTTATCATTCCTCTCTTCTCTTAGTGGGTAGGGACCAAATTACAATACAAAAAGTTATAGATTGAAATAAAATTTGTTAAAAAAATTAGAGATGAAAAAATAATACGAGTAAAACTTTATATATAAAATGCTTGAAAAACCTCAAAATTACTAAAAGAAAAACAATTTCATACACAGTAAAAAAACGATTAGTATTATGAGTGAAATAAATGCTTAAATAAATATTTAAAATAATAAAAAATATCTTAAAATTATAAAAATAATATTAAATAAATAATTTCATATGAGTGGGTGAATATTTTAGGAAGAAGAAAAACCTTCTCTTCCAGGGCTTTTTATAATTTGAAAGGGGGTGGGGGCAAAAAATCTGATTCTTAAACCCTAACCCCTTGATCACATTTCTCATTTATAAACTTGTACTCACTTTAAGAACCCAAACTGTGTGTATACTAAAATGCAATCTCTGAAATCATTCTCCTATCTCTCACTTTCCCATCGCTGCAATCTTCCCAAAAACCCCTTCTTTGTTTCTCTCTTCTCTTCACTGGCCAAAACCCAAGCCCTCTATGTCTCCACTCGCTATTCTCACATAAAATCCCTTGAAAAGCCTCTATCTTTAAGTAAATTATCTTCAAAGCATTGGTTTCTCCAATACCCACATCCAATCTTCAATCAAAAGAGCACCCCAACTTCTCTTTGCTAAAGTTGACAAGACCCTTAAACCAAAGATTGAGTTTTTTAAAAATCTGGGTATTGTTGGTCTGGAGCTAGCTCACCTCATTTCTAAAAGTTATGTGATTTTGAAAGCTAGTTTGGAGAGAAGGATTGTTCATTGCATTGAAATTTTGAAAGAAGTTTTGGTCAATGATGGAGATGATAAGGGTTTAGTTAAGGTTTTATTGAGATGCAATCGGATTATGGGTAAAGATCCCAAATCATTCTTGTTATCTAACATAGCTTTGTTTGAGAGTTATGGGATTGTTGGGTCTCAGCTTGCAACATTGTTGAGGGGATATCCGAGGCTTTTTATTATGCAAGAATCAGTGCTTAGAGACCTTCTCTTGAAGGTTTCGAAATGGGGTTTTCGGTTGATTCTAGGATGTTTGTTCATGGTGTGTATGCTCTTAGTTGTGTGAGTGATGAGACAATTGAGAGAAAGTTTGGTGTACTCAAGAGTTTTGGGTTTTCAGTTGATGATTTCATGGGAATGATTAGACGAGCCCCCCCCCCCCCCCCCCCCCCCCCCTTTTGCTTCGGAGTTTTGAGGAGAAGTTGAAGTTGGGAATTGTTTTCTTTTTGGACTCAATTAAGCTTAAAAAAGAGGTGTTGGTTCATAGACCTACAATCTTGTTGTACAGCATGGAAGAAAGAATTATTCCTCGATACCGGATTGGGATCTTTTGAAATCAAACAAACTATTGAGGAGAGATCGGAGTTTTCTTAATGTGTTGTATTTGTCTGAGAAGGTGTTCCTGGAGAGGTATGTATCAAGGTTTAGAGATGATGCAGAAGAATTATTAGTTGTTTACAAGGGTCACATTTTGGATCCTTCCATCTAAAGGAGAAACAGCTTGATGCAAGCTAGGTATTTGGGGTTCCAATTGGTTTTCTAAGGGATTCTTCAACTTGATTCTGAAATTTCAAGTTGGCCATCTGGAACTGAAAATTTGGGTCTGCATATTTCTGTGAGAGCTCTTAAAACTGTTCCTTATTGAATGATTATGTTACCCGTTCAAATATTGATTTATACACCATCAATTCCTTGAGTAGTTTGGATTTATTTTGATTATAATATGGTTGTCAAGAAAATTCGAAATGCCTACGAAAAATGTGGTAATGTCTGCATGTTGAGGCTGTTTAGTTGATTACCTGTGTGTTTTCTTCAGTTAATATCAGGTATATTAACAAATCATGGGTGGCTTATGTTCTGTGATTGTCCTTAATGTGCAATTGAAGGACATTGCCATTTAATTTGCCGAGAATGAATCGCACTTGACAGATGTATTTTTATTCCCAATGCTTTCGAAACTTGATCCTAATGTGTCATAAGAACGCAAAATTGCTATTTAACTGTTCATAGAAAATAAATGGGGTAAATATATAACACTTTCCCTTTGCAGTTATTTTCTCTACCATTACATTGTGGACTATGACGTATCTGATCTGAATTTCAGACATGTAGAAAGCTGGTTCTTACGTTGCTAAACTTCCCCAGTATATGAGAATAAAGAAGGTTCATGCCTGCTTTCTGACCGTGCTTCCCTCTCCATCTCATCATGGTTGAAATTCTAAACTTTGAGTAGTTGTTGAACCTGTTTGTCTCATTTCATTGATTTAACATTTATTTGAAAATCACTGAGACTTTATTTCAGTTTCATCTATTGAATATCAAAAGTTGTTGGTTAAGGGGAGCCCTAAATGCTATCTTGTCTTTCCAGATCATCATATAAGTAGGGGAGGAAAAGAATGGTCTAGTCTAATTCTCTAACAGTCTGAGTTTTGCTAGCAAATTAACAAAAAACTGGAATTCTGGAGACAACTTTCTAATTGAAGTATTGTTGCATAATCCCTGCTATAATATTCTCATAATGTAATAGTATATTTATAAGAGAGAATCAGTTGATTCCATATTTTTGAAGTTTACTCAATTTGAAAAGAAAAAAGTTGATGGGTAAAAGCAAAAAATAACAGAAAAAGGAACAGAATGAATTGGACAAAGCAGAGGATGTCAACAGATTTTGATAGACATTGAAATTTGAGAAGTCCATTAGGTTAATGGATGACCAGATTTGATACAAGCATAAAATTATAATCAAACAATTTGTTTTCTTTGTATTCTACACTTGTTTCCGCGTGTACTATAGTTATCAATTATGTTGGCAAAAATTGTCACTTGTGAACGGATATTAAGGCCATATATTTTATACATTATTGCATATGAGCAGTCATGTTATCAACACACTACATCATCCTGTTGCTTGCACTTTAGTTTCTTCTGGAAAATAGGAAGCAATTTCCAATATTTGTACGCATCTTTTGCTTATCTTTCCTGTCACTTCTGTTAATATTTCCAATATCATTTTCTTCTGGTATTAACATTTTGCAAGGGATAAGATTTTCATTATGAAGTTTTTCACCGATTTATTTCTTTTACAACTTGGTGAATGATTAAGGAATCTCATCCCTTTTGTTATGTCCTCTGTTTTTTCCTCAGTTGTGGATTGATATTTTACTACTTGTTATACTTGGATTAAGTGCAAAATAACTCAATTTTCTATTACAATGAAAGTAAATTGATATAACATATGCCATCTTTATTGAGAATTGTTTTACGACTGGAATGTTTTTCTAAACTTTGCACTAAATTCTTGGATGCAGGACACGAGCTCGTGACGGTGGGTGCAGAACTGTGTGGAAGGTGGACAGTTTAGTTTGATCAGTGCTGGTCATTTTACTGTGAGAGCAAATGTAAAGAACAGAGTTGAGAAAATGCTATTGGGAAAGCTAAAGCATGTAATGCAATATAAAATTAGATAATTGAGACGATTTGAGCGTGGTTCATTTTTAACCTTATATATTATTTTTTATTTATTTAACTATTCTATCAATTTACTCATATTAATATTACTGTAACCCTCGTAAAATCCATAATCGTATAAGTGTATATATCGAGATATTTATATTCGTATATATATATATATATATATATATAATATCGGTTACGTACATGAAAGTCCGTAACCAAGTCAACATATGTATTGGAATATGTGGTATGTACGTATTTGTTGAGAGTAAGCGATATACGTCAATATTTATATATAAAAAAAAATTAGGTAAATTAGTTAGAAAATTTCTTTTATATGGAATAAGTATAAATTAGAAAAAAAAAAAGTGCTAATTGTCGAAATTTTAGGAGGAATTCTGAAAATGTAGTTAATTTAATTATCCTCATTTAATCACATTTTGGCCCCTATTTTCTACAAATTTTCATTGACCATCACCTCTTCCTCTTTAAAATTTAAACCCATCATTTCATTAATTTCAACCACATTTATCTTGCATTTCATCACAAGCTCTTGACACTTGTAATGAGCATTAAATGGATGAGATTAGATAAGATATTTAAGTAAAAAAAAATGGGATAAGGATGCATTTTTTGGTGCATCCCGTAGCTTCCTTAAAGCCAAGAAAGAAAGAGTGAAAGAGAGGGGAGAAAGAGAAAAAAAGGGAAGGAAGAGAAGGGGAAAAGAAAGGAAAAATAAAGGGAAACTAAAAGGAAACAAAAGAGATTTTAGGAAAGTTAATCCAATCTAAGCGAGGTTTCATTTTTTTTTCTTGCTTTGTTTATGCTTTCCATGTTTATTTTATGAGTTTTTTAATTCATGTGAAATGTGATTATGGTATTTGTGATGATTTTAAACACTTGATGTTTGATGATGGATGGTTAAGCATGTGTGATGAGAAATATGCTTTACGAGAAGATTTTTGGATTTTAGGGGTGGAAAAACCCGAACTTGGTGTGATTTATTTCGGGATCTTAGAGTAATTTTTAGGAAAAATGAAAAGAATGAAAGTTGTTGATATATGTGTCTACTATGTCTCTTTAAAATTTCGTGACTTTTAGAGATATATATATGGAGTTATGACTCAATTGGTATGGATCATTCGAATGGATCATCTACTGAAAAAATATTTCATTCCGAAAGTTGTGTGATTTATTTCGGGATCATAGAGTGGTTTTTGGGCAGACCTCAAAGAAGGAAAGTTGTTCATCTATGTGTCTACTAGATGTATATAAACGTTCGTGATTTTTAGATCTGTATGTAAGGATTTATGACTGATTTGGTACGGATCGTTGAATGGACCAGCTACTAGAAAAGATTATTTAGTTCCGAAACTTGTGTGATTTATTTAAGGATTTTAGATTGATTTTTGGAGGAAACTTAAAGAATGAAAGTTGTTGATCTATATGTCTAATATCTCCCCTTAAAATTTCGTGAGTTTTAGATATATATTTAAGGAATTATTGCTGGTTTGGTATAGGTTGTTTAGGTGTGCCACTGCTGAAAAATTTTTAACCTAAAATAAATGGGCTTGGATTAATGGTAATGGGCTTGGACTTGAGTTAAAATGAGATGGGCTTGGAATTACAAATAAAGTGGGTTTAGATTAAAATAAATAGACATGGGCTTGGATTAAAATAAATGGGCTTGGACTTGAATTAAAATGAGATGGGCTTGGATTTAAAAATAAAGTGGACTTAGATTAAAACAAATGGACTTGGGCTTGGATTTAAAAATAAAGTGGACTTAGATTAAAACAAATGGACTTGGGCTTGGATTCAAATAAATGGGCTTGGATTAATGTTAATGGGCTTGAACTTGAGTTAAAATGAGATGGGCTTGGATTTAAAAATAAAGTGGACTTAGATTAAAACAAATAGACTTGGGATTGGATTAATGTTAATAGGCTTGGACTTAAATAAAATAAACTTGGTAATGGACTTGGACTAAAATCAAAAGGCTTGATTTTAAAGTAGATGGGCTTAGACTAACGAAAATGGGCATAGGCTAAAATAAGTGGACTTAGATAGAAATAAAAAGGATTTTAAAATTTTAAAGAAAATTTATTCTTTTAGAGAGGAATTACAAAAAAAAAAAAAAAGAATTGGACCTTCTTTAATTATTAATGAAACTAATAGACAATATTAATGAGCGGAGGTTGTGTTCCCGCTATGAGTACCATGATGGGTATGTGAGCGCCGAGTGAATTTCGAGTGATGGTTGGATCGTGAGTATGGCTTGAGAAAGAAGGGCCGATACCCGAGTTTGGTTGAATGTGATTAAACATGTCATCACGTGCATCATGTGCATTGGGGGTGGAAATAAATTAAGAAAAATCATTGCGTCTTGAATTGATACGGTTTGGTAACCGAATTGAGTGGATTGGGTAATAGCAAGGAATCCATAGTGCGAGCTCTATTTACTAACACGAGTTAAGCGAGAGATAATTTCGCTAACCGTGTGCTATAACGAGGGATAATTATGTTGCGAGCGGTAGGTGATATTGAAATCACCGAGAGAAAGTAATAGAGCGAGTAGGTGATAACACGATCACCGAGAGATTGGGTGCACGGACTTGCATCCGGATTAAAATGGATGAAAATATGAGAAACACAATAGCATTACATATCACGTGCATCACCCTACTTACCGAGCTTTGGCTCATTTTGTTATTGTATTTGTGTGTTGTTCGAGCAAGGGCAAAGTTAAGCCGATCGAGGATGCTATCGGTTACGGCTAAAAGAGGCTCATGTGTCACTCATAAAAATAAAAATATCTTTTGTGTCATTAAAAAGGGGTACGGAGCCTAGGACGTAAATTTTTAGGCATTTTGAATATGTTATAAATTATAGAACTATACGTAATAATATTGTAAATTATATCATACGTTTCTCATGGTTTAGTTTCGTTGTGTATGATGGAGGAAGTAGGAGACTTAGTCCGAACGAGTGTGTCGCGTCGGTCACGCTTATTAGGTAATAGGTAAGGAAGCCGGG